CTTCGTCGATCTGCCTGTTCTGCTCCCCACTCTGTCTCTGGTGAAGCCTCTCACCGTCCCTGAGCCCCTGGCCTGTACCCCAGTTCTGTATGTACAAATAAATAAATCTTTAAAAAAACAAATAAATAAATAAAACCCAGGGTCATTTTGATTTTCTAGTGTGTTCTACCAACTTTTCAGAGGAAATAATACACATCCTTCTCCAACTCTCCCAAAACTTGGAGGAAGAACTGTGCTCCCAAGAACATTTTATTAGGTCAGCATTGCTCTGATGTCAAAATCAGACAAGGATATTAAAAAGAGAGAGAGAGAGAGAGAGAGAACTATGACTCAATATCTCTGATCCATCTATGAGTATAGATATAAAAATCCTCAATACAATCATAGCAAACTGATTTCAAGAATACATTAAAAGGATCATACATCATGACAAAATGATATTTATTCAAGTACTGCAACAATGATTTAATATATGCAAATTAATCAATTTAATTCATCATATCAACAAAGATTATATGATCATATCAATTGATGCAGAAAAGGAACTTGGTAAGTTTCAGCATCAATTTACAATAAAAACACTTAGTAAAATTATAATACATGGAACATCTCAATATAAAATCTGCCAAACTCATATTAGTATCAAACTTAGTGGTATAAGTTGAAAACTTTTCCTTCAAGATCAGGTGCATGGCAATAATGTCCACATTCACTACTACTATTCAAACATAGTATTGGAAATCCTGGCTAGAGCAATTAGGAAAGCAAAAGATATAAAAGCAATAAAAATTAGAAAAGAAGTAAATCTATCACTATTTGCTGAAGACATTATATATGTGTAGAAAATCTTATATACTCCATGACAAAAAAAACTACTAAAAAACAATAAAGTGAAGTGACAGGGTACAAAATTAATAAACAAAAGTCTGTTTAATTTCTATATGCAAAAACTGGGCTAGAAGAGAAAAACATATCCCAATTAAAGCAGCATCAAAAAAGTTAAATATCTAGAAATAAACCTAACAAAAAAGGTAAAGGACCTACCCAATGAAAACCCTAAGACATTGCCAAGAGATGTAGAAGAAACCTCAATGAAATGGAAAGATATTCCCTGCTCATCAATTGCAAGAATTCAATCAAGAATTTAAGAAGAATTCAAGTAGCCACTGTCCCCAAAGCAACATCATCCCTATTGTAATGCCTATAATTTTAATGGCATTCTTCATAAAATAGAGCAAACACTACTGAATTTTGTGTGGACCACAAAAGACTTTGAATAGTCAAAGTCATTTTGAGTAAAGAGAAAAAAAGAATGAAAGCACCATATGCCCAGACTTCAAGCTATACT